TGCGCTCTCGTACATATCTCTCACCATGTCAGTATATCATTTAAAGATTTCTTTATTTTTCAACACCCACCAAATTAACTCTCTAGGCACCCACCATGTAGAGAAATATTTTCTCTTCTCCATAAGCTTCTCAATCAATTGCCTAAGTAGGAAAATAGCCTCCAGTGTTGACCTCCTTGGCATGGAACCGAACTGATTTTCTGATACATTCGTTTCATGTATTAGTAGGTGCCCAATCACTCTTTCCCACAACTTCATAGTGTAGCTCATAACTTTGATCCCTTGATAGTCTCTATAATTTTATATGTCTCTTTTGTTCAAGTAAATAAGTACCATAATACTTTTTTTTCATTCGTCTTGCATTTTCTTTATTCTCAAAATCTTGTTGAACAGCTTAGTCAGCCACAATATGCCAATATCTCCCATGCACTTCTAAACCTCTATTGGGATACCATCCAGTCCTAAGGCTTTTACTAACTTCATCTTTCTCAAAGCTTCTTTCACTTCAGATATCCTAATCCTATAAATGTATTTATGACCTTCGACCTCCTTTATGTTAAAAGCTCCTAACGCTAGGCTCCCATAGCCGTCATCATTTAACAGTTTCTTAAAATAAATTATCTACCTTTCATTGACCTAGTAATCCTTCATCAAGATCCTCTAATCCTCACTCTTGATGCATTTTAACATTGATCTAGATCCATAAACTTCCTCTCTCTAATTTTTACAAGTTAAAAAACATCTTAGCCCCTAATTTATTGTATAGATTATCATATGCCTTAAGCTTAGTTTTACTGACTATATCTTAGCACTCTTCTTAGTATTTAAATATGCTTTTAAGTTTTAATTATTTCTATTCCATTGCCAAGCTTTGCGCCATAATCATTTTTGGCTAATAGCCTTTTGGACCTCACCACTCCCCCACTAAGTTTCATTATCTGAATGTCTTTTCCCTCTAGATTCTCCAAAAACTTCTTCTACGTCTTTTTTAATACAATCAACTACCTTATTCTACAAAACATGAACTTTGTCCTCAGAATTACATTTTCTTTCTTTTATCAATTTATTCCTAAATGAGTCTATTCCCCCCCCCTTTTTAAGTTCCACCACCTAGTTCTTGTTTTCTCTACTTCTCTTGCATCTCTTTGTGTAAACATTCATAACCATGGGCCTATATTGTGAGATCAAAGTCTCTCCTGGATAACCTTACAATCTTTACATGATGGACTATTTGCTTTCTAAACTAGGAAGAAGTCAATCTGGCTTTATATAGTCTAATACAATCTTTAAGACAATGGTACTTGCCATTTCCACAATGCTATCCTTTAAATGGGACATGAAGTAAATAGACTAGATCATTATGTATATGTATTCAAGAGTGGGAGTAAATTCACAATACTCTTGTTATATGTGGATGATATATTATTAATTGGAAATGACTTGAAAAGGTTTGATAAGATCACGTCATGGCTTTCTTCTCAGATTGAGATGAAAGATATGCAGAAGCATCTTACGTTCTAAGTCTAAAAATAACTAGAGATAAAAAATCTCGAATGTTGTGTTTGAGCTAAGAGAGATATCTTGACTTTATTATTAAGAGATTCAAAACGGAAAATTGTTAACCATTGTCCGCTCCCCTTGAAAAGGAAATAAGATTATCTAAAAAGGACAAAAAAAACCTAATGTTCCCTACGCACAAGCATATTAGGCATGTTTTCCTATTTGGAGGTGTAGTCGTTTCTTGGTCTAATAAAATACAAGGATGTATTATTCGATACACACAGGAAGTAGAGTGCATTGCATTTAGCATTACTTGTACTTACGTCGTTTGGATAAAGCACTTCATAGTGACTTGAAGCCATAAATAGTCGATGAGCCAATTCAAATGTTTTGTGATAATCAAGCAGCTATTAAACTTATATAAAGTGGAGAAAATAACTGCAAAGGTAGACACTCAAAGGTGTGATATCGCTACATTCAATATTTAGTTGAAAAGAATAAGGTCATTATTAGTTATTTACCCTCGTCTGATATGATACATTGATAAAGGGTCCAAATGTAGATTATTTTCTAAGCATATCAACTTAATGGGACTTAAAAATGTTTAAGTTAAATGGTTGTCATGAGTGACAAATCCACATTACCATGGAAGTCTTCATGACGGAAATTGTGGACATTTATCATGGGGAGAATATCAGCAACGCGTAAGAAAAATCTCTGGACAAAATATTCTCATAAAGGTTATGCTCAAAAGTGAGTAAATTTATGACAAAATATTGCGCTCGGCCCTCATAGCTAAGTGGGAGATGTTAATGTGTTGGCATGGGGGGCCTCACACTACTATTCTTAGTTTCATGTGAAGAATCCCATGGGAATACTTTTTCATGTCTATCCTTTATAAAAAAAATTTAAATATAATATATACAAATAATTATTTTCTAAATAGTTTCAAACTGTCATACGAGGATAAGCATATCTCTAATATATGGGCAGGTCATTTTTTCTGAGACCCGTTGAAAAGGAATGTTGGACTCTCTTCTTTCTTTTATAAAAGGGAAGTTAGAGAACATGTGTTCACACAGTGAAAATTATAAAACCTTATGTGTTTTTCTAATAACTACTTCTCTTTAAAGGTTATTGAAATGAAAAGACGAGCACTGCGATCACTAGCCTTATAGTATTCCCTCTTAGTTCTAGGGCTTTTGCGCTATCAAAAAATTACAGATCATGGAGCCTCAAGGGAAAGTCCTAGATTTGACAAGGAATGATGTGAGGCTAGTGATTATAGAGCTCGGATTTCCCTTCTAGAAACCTTTAAAAAGAGAAGCAACTATCAAAAAAACGCAGAAGGCTTTGCAATTCTCACTATGTAAAAACATGTTCTCTAACCTCCCTTTTAAATAGGAAAGGCAACGGATCTCTGAGATATGGCCCTCCCAGATATTAGGAATGTGTTTACCCTTACATGACTGTTTGAAACCATTTAGAAAATAACTATTTTACATATATTATATATAAGAAAAGTTTTATAAAGGATAAGCATAAAAAAAAATTAATCTCATGGGATTCTTCCCATGAAATTAGGTATAGAAACGTGAGGCCCCATGGCCACAAATGCCAATATCTCGTACTTGGCCATGAGGGTTGAGCACAATAAATTTTCATAGATTTCCTTCTACTTTTGAGCATAACATTTATGACAATATTTTGTCATAACGTTTTCCTCACGCTTCGTGAATACTCCTCTCATGACCAATATCTACAAATTCCATCATGAGGATTTCCACACTAATGCAGATTCGTCACTCATGACATGACAATCATCTAATTCAACCATTTTTAAGTCTCATTAAGCTTATATGCTTAAAAAACAATTCCACACTCAGACTCTTTATCAATGGGTCAACAATCATATCAGACAAGGGCACATAACTACATCCTGAATCTAGTGATATTGCACCTCTATGTGTTTACCTTTGGAGCTATTTGCTCCACTTGGTAGCGTAATTATCACAAAAAATTATACTTGGCTAGTTGACTATTTGCAGCTTCAAGTCATCTATGAGGCACTTTATCTAGATGGCATAAGTACAAACAATGCTACATAGATTGTACTCTTTTTCAGGCATGTATTGAGCAACACACCCTTGTTTCCTACTAGACTAAAAGACAACTGCACCTCCAAAGAAGAGAACATGCCTAAGATGCACTTGCTATCATCCTTATCTACAACAAAATCTGCATTGAAATATCCTAGAACTTCAAGTCTTATCTGCTTGAAAATATAATTTAAGACGCTTTGTCCCTTAATTTGGCTGCGAATTTTTTCAACTATTTTCCAATAGGCTATGCCAAGATTGCTTTGATACCTACTTACAAGACCTAAATCATAGCTCAAATCTGGCCTTATACAGAAGGTTTACATTGGTTGCCAACTTAACGCAACCCTCCTCCTTTCTCTAGCCTTGGGATCGCCATAGCCATCTTAGGACCGTCCATGGCAGAGGTTTTTGCCCAAATTCATATTTTCCCAAAAATATGCAGATGTGAGGCCCCAGCACCATAGACAAGAGTGCACGCTATGCGAGGCATATGAAACCTCCCTTGGCAACAAATAAATTAAAAAGGTATGTCTTGTATAGACTTGTGCTACTTCAGGGGATTTAACCATCTTATTGGGCAAGTTCTTATACAGAAAAACTCATATGGAGGCATATCTCCAGCCTTAACCGACATTCGGTGGTAGGTGAGGCATTATGGCATGGGGTGTATGAAGATCAGCAAGAGAGCACATGTAAGCTTGCGGCAAAGGCCTTCAGAGTGAGAACTAAGGCGAGATCGTGTCGACAGATGGTTAAGATGGTGGGACTTGGTGACTGTAGAAACCTATTGGGTGAGAGGCTTAAATGCCCATAGCCACCATGACCTAAAGGGACATAGGCATGGCCCATCTGAAATAGGCATGGTTGACTATACACCTAATCTAAGTAGGTATGTTGACCAATAATATTCGAGGGTGGGATTAAAATTGTGTAATTTGCCCCAAAACATAAACTTATGTAATGGCCATAGGGTATGTGAGATAGGGTGAGTGCACATGCAATGGGCTCGAGTGGCCATAAATTATTGTGTTATGCCCACGCAAATTTGAATTGGCACGCATGGTACAGTTATAACCTAAGGGTTGGTTGACTAAACAAATAAGTACCGTCAATGATCACATTGTGCAGGTCATTATTGGTGGGGCTCGGACTAATAACTAGCACACGTTGGGGTGCAGGCCTTAATGATCTTGCAACCGATGGGTGACTATCGGGCTATAAAAACCCTTTGCTCAAACCCCTAGGCACATGTGTGGCTATACATGAGTAAATCTACTCGTCTCACTCCTGTCCTCCTGTGTGTGCTTATGGAAGGTTGACCTACCTTAGTTTGGGTTCGACTTTGGCTAGGCACCACATGGTTTGGTTATAATGAAGATCAATTCATGTGACAATTACCATAGCATAGCCACGTGCAACTTTTGCTTGGAAGAAAGAGTCATGCGCCTCAGAAATGTGTATGTTCAGTAGACGTGATGTTGGGTAAACCCTGGAACACACAGAGCACGACGCAGAATGGCGCGAGAGATAATGATCCTCAAAGTCCTCCAATGAAATCAACTGAGCTCCACAACCAGCAATCGGGCAACATATTTTCCTGCAACAGGTAATCAATCCAGAAACAATAAACATGATGTTAAGTGCTTTCCATTCCCAAAAGGTTCCATAATATGATATTCACTCTCATGTGATCTATTATTGAATCCCATGCATGAGGAGAAAGGAGTTTTCGTTCACTTATTGAAAAGGGAAGGGGACAAAAAAAAAGAAAAGAAGTTTACCCCACAGTTGTGACTTTTTCAGGGTTGAGAGTCCAGAAGATCTGAAGAGGAAAAAAGCTTACCCACACCATGCTCATGATAACAAACTAGTACAAACACCCAAGAATTTAGCCCATAATTAATGACACCGTAGTACCCAAATCCCCTCATGATATTTGTCAGTCTCCAAAGGTAGATGAAACATTGCCTACCCATTTTACTGCAAGATGTTAGCATATTTATGTTTTGGTTATTTGCAGTATGCAGGGGTCACTTACTTGATTGTATATGTCGTCCCCAAGACCATCTATTATTACTCATTCATTAGAATAGTTTTTCCGTGTACTCCATTGACAGTAAAACAAGTGAAGTAGATTCTCGCATGGTAGCAAAGCAGCAGCATATATAGGACATTTGTTCATATTGAGAGGCCAAAGATGGGTAGAATAAAATATCCTTATAGGATTACACTCAACCTCGTCCTTGGTTTTCTTCTATACAAGCACATAAATAAATAAATAAAGGAGAATCCCTGGTTCCTTGTTTTTACTATCAAAACTTGCAAGTTTAAACCCTTTTTATTTATTGATAATAAATTGTAAGAAGGTTACATCCAGTGGTAAAATACAACCAAAAGGAACATGATCCAAAAAAGCATACAAAGAAAACTGAAGATGAAGGTCAAGGGGCAATGAGAAGTTTGCAATTGACAGAGAGACCCCAAATTGTCCCGATTGTGCAAGGGAATCAACTATGGAGTTGACTGCCTTGAGCACATGAAAATCACTCAGTAAATGAAACAAAGAAACCGAAAGTTTTCCATGATGTTGGCTAATTCCCAGTACTCAGTTTCTCTTCCACTTTTTTCCAAATAAAAAAAAATTGCTCTTTCCTATCAAAACACTGACCAAACTTTCTAATCAATAACCAAGTACTTTCATATCACAACTTCCAATCTAGTCCTTCCATGTCAGAATCCTAACCAATTATGGTGCCATCTTAGGAATGGGTAACATTCTTATGGTATGCTTTTATTCGCGTATGTACCTTAACCCTCTGTCTACACAAAACCTAGATCTGTACTCACCCCCTTCAAAGCTATAGTCCTTATTTTCACAAAATTCCTTTCTTATCTCTCAATACCTTATCATATACTGATTTCAGCAAACTTTCTGCTTTCAAATCCTTTAATTTCCTTTTCTCCTGAATCTGTCAATTTCCTCCTTTGATCTATCTCATTCTTTACTCCTTACCCAACCAATTCGTTTCCCTGCTGTACACATTTGGCACCCCATTTTACTATCATTTATTTTCTTTTCAAAGTACCATTGACCTTATACACTTTTTCAGTTTATACCAGTGGTTTAAAAAACAGATCAGTGCCCCGGATAGGGCACCCCAAAAACCCATCCAGATCGGTGAATAGGCGATCCGGATCAAGAATCGGCTGAATCGGTCGGAGTTAGACTTAAAAAAAAATCCAAAAAATTTATTAAAATTCATTATAAATGTTGTTTTTTAGGAATCCAATAAGAAATGGGGGTACTCCATTAAGAACTTTTCTTTTTTGCATCAATATGCGAATATTGAGATGTTCTTTCCTTGCATTAACTACGGTTAACCTTTAAATTTACATCACATAAAATGATAAGCATAGAATTATCATGGATGAAGTATAAATCTCCAAAAATAATGTTATTTTAGTTTCTAAACGTAATTAGGAGTGATACATTATGTAATTTCATATCTTTGCAAAAATAGGTGAATACTGATATGTTTTTTTGTCTGGACGTCTGTATAATTATTAATTATAATATAGCATTAGAATATTATAAAAATAATAATTTCCCATATAAAGTGAAATTAGAATCATATCAAAGTATTAAATATTTATTAATTCGCTTTATTCATCCAAAATTATCACAACCTAACTAACTATAATATTATATAATGAAATTGAAATTGTTGGTTTATATTTTATAATTATTTTTCTATACAAATACGAACAAATTTAAAATGTCTTATAATATCATCTAATTTTAAAATTTTATTTACAACTATAAGAAAAATAATACATTATATAATTTATAATGTAAATAAAATAATAAATAAAATACAAGATTTGGTTATCAATGTATAATTATTAATTATAATATTATAGTAAACATGATTAAACATTATTAGAAAATGCTTCCATATCATATGATTAAAAATAAAAAAAACCCCAATAAATTCTAATGTTATGATATTAAAAAATTCAAAAAACATTTATCCAAAAAATGAAATAAAGATACAAAATTCAAAAAAAAAAAACAAATGCTTATCGACAACATGTACAATCGTTACAAAAAACATAAAAATACAAATACATAAGGAAATAAAACCTACCGAAAAAACCATTTTACTAATAAATAGCAAAAACTGTTATATGGAAATTTTTTAATTTGGAACTCTAATTAATTCATTTAATTAAAAAAATATGTTGATGAGGCTCATTGAATACGACACGCTAATTTGGAAACATGATATGCTAAGATTTATAAATTAATTAACACTCTCATTAATATTATTAAATTAATTGATATGCTCATTAATTCATTTTTATAATATGATTAAAAAAATAAATCCCCTTATAAATTTTAATATTATGACACTAAACAAATTTATCCTGAAAATGGGAAAATAAAAATATTAAAATTCAAAACATAAAAAATAGCATGCTCATTCCCCTAAGTTGCCCCACTCCGTTTATTGTTGTAAAAAAAGAAAAAAAATGAAAAAGTGGCATATAGTAGAAAAACAAGCTGAGAGAGAAAACTATTTTGTAGCATATTATGTGGTTATTGGCAAACCTCTAGTTTAATTCAAATCAATGGGTAAATTTGATATTTTGGGGCTCGAAATAAGAAACGTGATTCAATAATTTTCCTCTAACATTGAGAGGATAAAATGGCCATATAAAATCCAAGAGCTTTAGAACATGAGACGATTGGTGTGTGACGTGTGCATAGGGATGGATACAGGGAAGGAGGGTACCAATGGTGTGTGACGTTGTACACAGGGAAGTTACAGCTTTTATTATAAATTAATGCTGAAAAATCTCATTTTTATGGATCTCGATATATTTCGAGATCCGGATTGGACGATTCCGATTCGGATCGGCGACTTTTCAAACACTGGTTTATACTTTAACCTTCTAGTTACAGCTGCCTTGTCTCTCCCATTTGTCCTTCAACAAAAAGGACCAGTCATGCAATTTCATACACATTAGGGATTCGCCTATGCTTTCTTTTGAGAAAACAACATGCGATAAAAATTTCAAGGACATAAAATGGGACAAAAAAAATTCCCCTCCCCCCACCCCCCAAGCAAACAAAGAGGCACAACCGAATGCATTAATTCCATATAGTCCAGATCCCACTTCAGAATCTCGATCTGATGCTCCAAGAAAGGCACCTTCAAATGGTTTTAATTTTAAAATTTTGGGATCTTGATCCCCACCTTAAAGATCAAGATAACGACCAAATTGATGATTTTCTTTATTTATAGCTAGCTAGTAATGCAACTATATTTTCAATACAGGTGCATAGCTTATTGGCCATAAATAAAAAGATCCTTATTTTGAAGAGCGCATAGTCCTAGGGTATATATACTCTTTAAGCTTGGGAGAAATATCCCTAAAAAGGTTGAGATCAAGATCTCTGACGCTTGGGGATCTCGTTCCCTAACATAGGCATTTTACGGCCTGCGCTCCCCACCATAAGGATCTTCTAGCCTTTTACAATCCCCCACTGGCTAAAGAACTATGCAAGTCAATAGCAGCCACTCATACAGCCTTGAACTGCCATCAAAATTTTTAATTTGGAAAATCAATAGGTGCAACTCGTATGTACAATACTACAATCGTTAAATTTTTTATTACTTTATGACATTTATTAATTATCAAAAGAAACTTTAATGTTATGTCTTCACCTTCCAAGGCTTCTTAAATTCTTGACCGATGGGATTGAACCATGTTACTCCTTATCTGAAGAAATTTTAAAACTTAAAACTTTATGAACAAGGTTAAACATAAACGGTCCACACTTCCTATTGCACATATGATTATTAAGGCTTCCATCTTGGTAAACTTGAGCAACACATATTTTCTTTCAGGGCCATATTCCACTAATCTTTTCCAAACTTCATTTTTTTTAGAAGAGTTAACTGTCCAACATTCATTTGAATTCTCACAAAAAACAGTGAGTTGTTACTCATTTTCTTCTTTTTTTTCATGTTTATTTTTATATGACTGTCGAGGATCTTCAAATCAAAAACAAGGGAGAGAAAAAAGTATTCCACCTCTAAACTGAACTTGAAAATCTGATCTTAAACAAAAAACACAATTTTCTGGATGGTTCAAACAAAATTGGAATAACAGTCAAATACTCAAATATTTGATGCAAATGTTGGTGGTTTAAGACTCAAAAGTGTATTTTGGTTGAAAATAGCAAATGTGCCAAACCAAGAACCAGCATTATTATGTTATGCAAAATAATGACTAAAAAGCAACTATAAGAGGCATAAGATACATACCCATGCTCTGCATCTGCCATGTTGCTAAGCTCATATTCTTCATCTTGTGTAAGATCTAGAGCCACCTGCTCATAGAATAAAGGCATATCTTTAAAGGATATTCTAATTCCAAGAATATTGCATGTTTCAAATTTAAGTGGGAGAACTGTATAAGTAAAAGTAACCTGAATATCAGATATTTCATCTCAGATAATAATGTGCAAACTCCACATATTTGCAAGACTGGAGAATCATTCTCAGAAGAAAGCAAAGCTTTCACATTCAATATAATAATAACATAAATATGAGCAATAAGTATCTGCTTCGTTTCCGCCTCCAAATCCAAACAATTACAGCCAGGTCAAAGAAGATTTAGTTAAGATAATTCCGTTATTTAATTGATTTGAAGGAAAGAGGGAAAGTCAAAGAAGATTTCCTTAAGATAATTCTGTCATTTAATTGATCTGAAGTCCACTCCCTACATCGAATGCAATTTGTTCATACAATATTTGGATATTAAGCACCATGATAGTGGTGGTGGATATTGCATAATCAAATCAATCTAATAACAGACCATCCAAACATATTTTGCTTACAGTAACAAACCAGAAAAAAGACATATATGAGTGAGAATGAAGAGTTTACAAAACAAGGAAGCATTGATCTTGATGTTCCCAGGTGACATGTTTCAAACTCAAAACCAATAAAGCAATTTACAATTGATAATTGCAAGAAGGCTCTTTCTTTGAGGTAAGCATAATTGCTACAAAGACTCATGCAGTGATATGTGTAAAAAAGATGGTATTCCTAGAAGATCTCAAAGAAGAGAAGAAATCTCATCCTTGGAACTTAGAGAACAATGGCTGACAAATGTTTATCAAAGTTGACATCCTTATTTGGATTCCATTTTGTAGATTGAAGAATAGGAATTCTTGTTACTGCAGGAACCCAAGTCCAGTCATTCTAGCAAATAATGGAGCCTGTATCACAAACCTATAATTACATTATCATAAATTAATTTTGATGTTCCTACTACATGGAATTGGGTTGCCTCCACTGACGAACTTGGGTTGCCTCCTCTGGATAACTTTTTATGTACTTAGTGCTTTGGTAAAGGAAAAATGAGAGCCAAATGACCAGAGCATTAAAAGGCTAAATTTTTTAAATACAACAGAAAAGGTTAATTTCTTTTAATAACTATTTGAACGATTAAATTTAGTCATACAAAACATCTTATTCATGGTAAAAATCTGTTGTCACTTTGGAGCTTGGCCTCTTCTTTTTCTATTATACTATTATATTGATTTGGATCACAATACATATAGTTGCACATGAAACTGCAAACAAACTGAAATGCATACTAAATGGGAACAAAAAGAAAGCTCAGCTGAGAGAAACTGAAAAAAGAATAATAAAGAAAAAGTGAAAGCACAAACTAAACAATCAAATCCAACCACAATAACTACCTTACAAAATCCAACCACAAGGATCAATTCACAAACATAAAATTATATAGCACAACCCAACATGAGTAAGGTCAATCCATAGAATCAGTTACATTGCCAAAAAAGAATATAATAGAGAATCGGTATACCATTATGTATACTTGATGATAGATGAGTCATTAAAATATTAATTGCGACTTCACAATGCCAAATAACAGACCAAGTAAATATGGGTTAAGAGTTTCAATTCAATCGTAACCTACCAAAAGAAAGAATATCTAACGATATACATAAATAACCGACCTAGTGATGTGTCCCAAGACAATAGGACTAAGAAATACGGCACAATACAGTGAAACTTCACTCTTTATTTCAATAAAGGATATAATACAATTGTTTTACAAGAAAAAAAGAAAGCTATGAGGGAATCACTCAACCTCACGTGGGAATCACTCACTCTCAAAGAAAGCTTGAAGGCAACTCTCAATTCGTCATTGCTGGAAATTGACCCCTTTGGGGGTATTTATAGGCTAAGGAAGATGTTTCTAGAGACTTATCAACAAATTTATAGAGAAGGTTCCTAAATACTTCCTTAAACAATAGTTTATTGCTAGATATTTCTAGAGAAGGTTCCTAGATACTTCCTTAAACAATAGTTTATTGCTAGATATTTCTAGAGAAGTTTCTAAGAAACTTCCTAAGATAATGACTTGATTTGGTTCTAGGTTTTTGTGGAACCTTCAAGAACCTTTCTAGATGTAGGGATGCATCAGTCACCCCCTTTTCAAAAGAACTCGTCCTCGAGTTATCAACCACGGACCTCCATATTTCAAAATTAATCTCCTTTAATTGCTCCTCTATTTCTTTCCACCGCACTAGGTATTGAGTGAGTTGTCCTTGACTGGTCATTATATTTCGGGTATCAATGATGTTAAGAATGCTCTCATTCTCTTGCACAGGTGAATTGTCTCAAACCTCATCCCAATTGATAATATCAGCCAGTGTTCGCAAAATCGAACCAGAACAGTTAACCGAACATGGGCCCGAAAGCGATTTAACCGGCCTAACCGGTAAACCGGCCGATTCAACCGTTCTAACCGGGCACGTTCTGAACTATAAAAAAAAGTGTTGAAAACAATAAAAAAGATACAAAAAAAATCTACCAAAATATGAAAAGCATATAAAGAATGTGATTAAAACAAAACACACTCAAATGAAGTTGAAAACTAATGGAAAAAAATGGATTTTAACGAATCGATTTGTGCCAAGGGCTATTTTTTACAATTTTTTGAAAAAGATGGGAAAATATAAAAGTGAGTATCAATGACCAAAAAAAATTTTAATCTTTACCATAATGTAAAGAATATTAAAAGAGTGTTAAAAAAATTGACTGGACCAACTATTTTTTAAAAGCAAATGAAGAAAAAATAAAGTATATATAATATAGGCGCTTTTTTTTATCAACTAAGTAGAAAATGGCGTATTGGTTAGTGGGTCTGATAATAAAGGACTTCTTTAAGAGAGGATTCTAGTTCGATTCCAATGGGCAAGTAATTTTTTTGAACCAATGAAATGAATTCTTAAAAGAAAACACGCTTTGAACCAACGAAATGAATTAAGAAAACACGCTTTGAACCAACGAAATGAATTCTTAAAAGAAAACACGCTGGCTGTCGGATTCAAACCATGATTCATATAAAACTTAATCATCAAAGCTAACCAATAAACCATTCTAATGTATTTGATTTAAATTTGAAGTAGTATTTTATTTAAAGTTTAAAATATAGGTTGATCACCAAAACCGCAACCGGCAACTGGCCGGTTCCGATGTAACCGGCCGGTTAGCAGTTAGATCGGCCGGTTTTGCAAACACTAGTATCAGCTTCTCCATGATATTTGAATAAATAAGAAATGTTGAACTGGGCTGATCCCTATTCCTTTCGGTAACTCGAGGCGATAGGCATTTGTCCCAATGCGCTTCAGGATTCGACATGGTCCTATCTTTCGGTGTTTGAGTTTGTGATGTTTTCCCACTGAGAACCTTTTGTGACGGAGGTACATCATAACCAAATCTCCTTCATTAAACTCCTTTGCACGATGACTTTTGTCAGCAGCACCCTTATATTGCTCATATGTCGCGGCTAACTTTCAATGAACATTGTCATGGACTTCTTTCAAATGATCAGTCAGATCAGCAACATTTGCACTAAAACGTCCATGGTTTGATATCGATGTCACATCCAAAATGTGCAATGGGGTTCGCCCACACACAATTTCAAATAGTGTTTTGCCTATTGAACGATTCTTTGAACTGTTATAAGCGAACTCAGCTTGTGCAAGCACAGAATCTAGTGTTTTGTGGCATACCTATGAAAATATTACCCTTTGAAGCCTTTGACAGGTTCCCTCGCTCTAATCAATAAGAAAGTCTTTTCAACTTTTGTTCAGCCTTTAAGGCCCTTTAGTAGGCTTCATTCATATCCCATAGGTGTAGTAATGCAAGCTCATTTTGTAGCATCGGTTTTAACCCACTAACATATCTAGCTACTAATTGTTCTTCACTTTTCAAAACCTGAGCTCAGCTTAAAAGTTGGTAGAATTCTTCAGTGTAATCTTGCACACTTTGGTCTACCTTTTGTTTTAGATGATGAAACAGTTTACACACAGCCCTTAGTTTCTCCTTCATTTTTTACCATGTTTGTATTTTTCCTTTTCCATGCCGAACTCGGTCATTTTGTAAAGTTTGCCACCAAATTAGAGCATGACCCTTAAGTTTAGTGGCAACAAACTTTACCCCAGTAGATCCCGCCATTCAAAGAAAGTTTCAATACTTGTTATCCAATAAACAAAATAGTCGGGATCGAGTTTAACTTAGAAATCTTCACTATCAACTCGAATGTTTCTATCCCCTCCTTCAATAGCTTTGGCCAACCTCTCTAGGGCTGATTCTTGCCGTCCATCAACTGTTTGCGCAAATGGGTTTTCATCAGCAACACTAGAATTTTCTTCATGGCTACTAGAAGTGTTGGAACTCCTCCCACTTTTTTGTACTTCATGAACTAAGTCCTCAACTAGTGCTTTTAGCTCAGCAAACTCAACCATGGTAGGGGTATTGGCAGCCGCTTGACCACGTCTTGCTCTACCAGCCATAGGGTCATTGGCTCTGATACCAAATGATGTGTCCCCAGACAGTAGGACTGATAAATACGGCACAATACAATGAAACTTCACTCTTTATTTCAATAAAAGATGCAATACAACTGTTTTACAAAAAAGAAAGAGAGTTATGAGGGAATCGCTCAACCTCATGGGAATCACTCACCATTTCGAGAGGAATCACTCACTCTCAAAGAAAGCTCCAAGGCAACTCTCAGCTGCAAATGGACCCCTTTGGGGTATTTATAAGCTAAGGAAGATGTTTCTAGAGATTTATCAAGAAATTTATCGAGAAGGTTCCTAGATACTATCTTAAATAATAGTTTATTGCTAGAGAAGCAAACAATAACTTATTGCTAGATATTTGAGAATTTGGTTCTAGGTTTTTGTGGAACCTCTCTAGATTTCGGGATCCATCACCTAGGAAATGATTTACAATTTGAAATTCGCATATGCTATCATAAAAGGGATGACTAATTATCTGAAAACGAAGTGCAATGCAAATTTCCCAAACGCCAATTCCCTAAAAAATGTCAGGAAAAAAAAAGATTTCCTTTTTTTTTTTAAAGTACAAAATGGGCTTTAAACAGGTCCATTAGTATTAAACTATTCATGAAAAGTTATGAAACCATTAATGCGTTCTCTTCGTGGTATTAGATCATAGAAATAGAGGAAAGAAACTGTAAGGAGAGAGGGAGAGAGAGGCTTATACCTGCTTAGAGAGAAGCTCTCTCTCTATGTTACCAGAGGCAAAGAAGGGAGCATCAGGATCATATTTTCTACGTATAACAGACCAGTATGGAAAATCCAGGCCTTCTTTTTCTTCTTCCACTGTCCCTGAAATACCCGATTCTCTCTCCTCTACCTTTACCTCCATTTCTCTCTCTTCTTCCATTAATCACGCTGCTTCCCAAAACTTCTCAACTTTGATGCTCTCACTCTCTCTCTTCACGAAGCTTCTCCGCTTTGGTACTCTCTCTAAAATGGCACTGGAATCTGGAATTTGAAGTTTGAAATGCAACGCCACTTGAGGAGATGACGTGGTTATAAAGAGAGATGAGAACGACCTCAAACAATCTGAGTATCCGTTCTTTTTTCAGTTAGACGGTGGAGATTAACGGAAATGGAACTATTATTACCAAGTACGATTAATCTCTGCGGTCCAATGCGAAGCAATGTGCACCATGTACGATACACCACGTGTACACTGGTTGGTTGGAATATTGCAGTTGCAACGCTATGATCCTACGGTCGTGATAGTAATCATGCTACGATCCTACGGTCATGATAACAGTCACTGTCATGCCGGTCATCACCGTCAGTTGAGTTAATCGCACTCAATGGGATCCACTCTCTATGCACAGCATTGGAGCCCTTGGTCGTAATGACGAGTGTTTAAAAAATCATGACGGTTAGACCATATTTATAAAAGTGTAATCATCCTACGAGATCTTTCCCCACGTATACCTAGGATTTCAAAGGATCACCACAAATCTTTAAAAAAAATCATTATATGAGTGTGAAACTTGGTTTTTTTTAGATATTTATATCAAATTTAATGGTGATGTTTTGAAATCTTACGTACATGGTGTGAGAGGGTCTCATAAAATCAGTACACTTTATAGAAAGAGTAATAATCCTATAAGATCTTCCTACATCTATGTGTGTATGACTTCAAAAGATTATCAATAAATTTGGTACATATATCTAAAAAAGTTATTACATGGGTGTGGAACTTGACTTTTTTTAGAAATATGTACCAAATTTAATGGTGATTATTTGGAGTGATCTAACATGGTCATGTCCCTTATAAAAAATGAGACTGAGCTCATAGGCCAACTGATAAGACTACTAATTGTTGTTTTGGTTGGTCTAATCTTAAAAAAAATTAGATATCAAATATTGTCAAAAATAATAATTGATTGGTACCGACCATACGAAGTGATAGCCTTTCTTAAAAAATATATTACATGTTTCTAAACTATTATTTATATTTTTTAATATTTTCAAAATCCTCTCAAAACTTATACTATTGATAGTTAGAAAAATTTTGATTGAACCACACCCTCAGTAGTCTAGTGACAAGTCCTGATAACACTGATTTGAATGGTGACAAATGAAAAGTGCAGGTACATTTAGTTGATAATGTGCTAGTGGAACCCAACCCCACCCATCGACATTGAATGCATTTATTTTATGTTATAAATTATGCTATATCTTATCTTACTATTAGGCATGTTTGATTTTTGGAAGATGCGATTTTGAAAATCGTATTTTTCAGGGAAGTGGATACCCTAAGTTCTATGATCCCCCATGGAGTTAGTGATATCCACTTTCTAGTTTTAAATATAAGGCAAGTGGATATCATGATATCCACTTTACTGTAAAACTTCCCTGTTATCAAACAAGGAAGTGCTACAGTGCTGGAAGATGCGATTTCCAAAACAAAAACTTCCAGAAATCAAACCTGCCCTTACGAATTCAAGCTAGTTTCAAGCCTGCAAAGATGGCCTAAACTTTTTTGAAGGCTTGAATTTCTTTGAGGGTGCTGCATTTTGTTGAAAAGTGGGTGAAATTAGGGCTCTAATATTTGGTTGCAGAGGATTAAATAAATAAAAAATAGGATGTTTTCTGTCATGCTAAAAGCATTGTCTCAAGATTGTATTTTCCACCTTACTAAGTGATATTTGCCACCTTACTAATGTGAGATGGATCGGGCAAATTAGTCCTTAGGCTACCTAAAAACATAAGGTTAAAGGTTCTTTTTAATGCACTGAAATAGTGAGTCCTCTAAGTACCAGAGTTGCCTTGATTTATTAAAAAGAAAGTGAAATTTTTTTTAAAGAGATAAAATTAGTATGAAATTGTAGAATGAAAGAATATAGGAAAAAACAAATGGGAGAGCAGTAAGGAGGCATTTCAAGTGCACATTAGTGACGGATGGAACCCAATAGCCACCACACCATCAACCGGTTATAAACTATAGTAACGAGTGCAACCCGTGCATGGGCTAATGGCAGCCTTGCGCTGATGGGTTCCATTAGCCACCACACCATCAGCCACCATCAACCGGTTATAAACTATAATAACGAGTGCAACCCGTGCATGGGCTAATAGCACCCTTGTGCTGATGCGAGCTTCTAAAATGCACCTCAAGTGCCTTTGTACCAATGCACACTACTCTCTGCTTTGTCCTATAAACATAGGGTTAGAGAGTGTTTCCATATAAGTACCATTATTGTCTTACTCTATTTTTCAACGTAGGACTAAAAACCTATAACTCTCTCTCTCTTTATTAAAAACTTAAAAAAATATTATTCAATAGTATATTATTTTAAAAATACTTCTTAGTATTTTCCAAATACAAAAAATACAAATGTCTGTTATACCATTTCAAAATAATACAAAAATATAGGCAATCATATATTATATGCATATCGTGAAGGCATCTTTCGATTTGAACTTTCATTTAGAATATAATCTACAAAGTCCATCAAGTTTCATGGCAGTGTATAGCTCTGACTCATGCTTCTTATCTAGCCGACTTGTAGCACAAGTCACGAAAAATATATATCTCTAGTGTCTTTCAGCTATCGGCATGTTTTGGACATTTTACTTATATCTCAATTTCATAAGTGTTGTAAAGACAAGTCTCATCTTATAGGAATGCACATCACTTGAACACTTATATAAGTGTGCCTATCAAAAGTGCATCTGTATTTAAAACGTTCTAACTTATAAATACCTACTTTAGTCCAAAAAAATATTTAACCAATTTACAAACTTTATTTTCATGATCAGATATAACAAGCCTTTGGGTTGGTCCATATAAATATATTCCTATAGTTCACCATTTAGAAATGTTGTTTCTAGATCCATTTCATGAATAACTAGACAGCTAATAGAGGCTATTGCTAAAATGAATCATTTAATAAATGTTCTTGCCATGGGGCATACATGTTAAAATACTCTATGCCATCTTTTTATTTGAATCATTTGGCTAGTAGTGTAAGCTTATTAATTGATCCATCTATATTATGTTTTCTTTTAAATATCTATTTACATCCTATAAATTTAGAAACAGGTGGCAGGTCCACCAACTTCCATGTTTTATTATCAAATATTAGTCCATTTTATTATTAATGGTTTCTCTCCAAAATTTTATTAACTAATGAGGAAGGATCTTCCTCCACATATAAGGCAATAGGTGTTACACCTAGTACCACCTCTTGATTTGCTTCAACTGGGTGAATATAAAATTTGAGCCAAAACTATACAAAAGATCTCTTATTGCTCTTTTACTTCTTCTAAGTTTTATTTTTTTGTTATATTGTTCTTCATTTATTGGTAGCACATTAATATTTTCTACTTCACCTACTTAAAGAATTTTTCATCTCTAAATTCTAGTATGGTATTTGAACTCAGTTATGAGGCCCTATATGCTTTCATATTTTGTGCATATCCCACAAATACATATCTCGAGACTTTTGGTCCTAATTTATTTATTTTAAGACAAGGAACTCTCACATAGGCAAGGCATCCCGATACTTTGAGAAACTTCAATTATGGTTTTTATCAAGTTATAACTCATGTGGGGTCTTATTTACTTTCCTATATAAGCTGAAAGTAAGGCTTCTCCCTGTAAGTTTACAAGTAGACCAAAATTTGTAACATAGAACTTACCATTTCTATCAAAGTTCTATTTTTTCTCCCGGTTAAGCCATCTTTTTTATGTGTAAAAAGCAATTACTTGGTAAATTATCCCATTAATTTAACAAAACTTTGTAAATTCATTAGACGAATATTCGCCCCCTACCATTTCTTAAAACTTTTATTTTTTTATTTAGTTGATTCTCAGCTTCGGCTTTGAAATCCTAGAATTTGCAAAAGCGTTGTCTTTATGCCTTAACAAATACACATAAATATACCGACAGAAGTTATTTATGAAAGTGAGGAAATATTTTGTCTTCCTCTTGTGAGTATATTATGCAAGTCATGTATATCATTGTATACAAGCCCAAATAATTACGTATTTCTTTTACTAAAAGAAATGACTTTCTTGTTATTTTGGCTTGTACACATGATTCACCTTTTTCATTAGATATATCACTGCCATCAGAGATAATGCATAACTTAACCATGGATTTTATTTCAGCAAAATTTAAATTATTTATGTTGGGCTCACTCAATTAGAGCCCTCTCGCAGGATGCATTCAGTGGAACCAAGATATATGGGTCATGCCAAAGGCGATGTGTGTATGTGTATGAGCGGGAAAATATGCAATTAAAGCAAATAAAATGTAAAATTTACTAGCACCAAGATTTTAAGTGGTTCACCTTTTCAAGCTACGTCCACCGGAGAACGAAACAAATCCATTATTATCTCAATGAGTGCAATAGTCTTCCAAGAAAACATTCTTTCTTGGGCTCACTGTCTAGAGACTTTTGTCCTTAGGTTTTCTTCTTTGAGATTATTTTATCTTAGAGACTTCTTTTATTTTTAAATGCTTTCTCTCTCTAAAAAAAAAGTATATTTTCTCTTTTTCTTCTATTCTCTCTTTTCTCTATCTTTTTATAAGAAAAATGCTTAAGAAGATGATCGCTGGCTCTCTTTCATCTTCTTCTTCTCTTTTTAAAGAAATATAATTTTCTCTCTCTTCTTCTTCTCTCTCAGAGAATGATAGCTTTATCTCTCTCTTCTCTAAGAAGAAGGGTAACTTTCTCTTTTTTCTTCTTCCATCTTCTTTTTCTCTTTGAGAAGAAATGTAATTTTTCTCTCTTCTTCTTCTCTATTAGAGAATGATAACTTTATGTCTCTCTTCTCTAATCTCTCTTCTACTTCTCTCTCAACAAAAGATAACTTTATCTCTCTCTTCTTTTTTTTTTCTAAGAGAATGATAATTTTCTATCTCTTTTTTTCTCCGCTTTGGTTAAAACCCAACTAAGAGCAACCAAAAAACCCCTCACGTGATTGCTTTTATAATTGGTCAATAG